CCCAGAGGCACGCCATGTCAGGGCCCATGGGTGGCCTTGGGCAGTAGCCTGACACCCTCCAGCTCTTTGGAGACTTCTGCCCACTGGCCAGGGGACACCAGGGCGCCCATACCCATGGAGCTCACCCCTGTCCCATCAAGCCTTCCGTGTGGGGTCTGTCTTGTCGGATACAACTCAGCTCAAAGGACATGTTTGCAGGAGCAGTGGAGAAGGGGGCCGGTGGCCGGCTGCAGGGTGGGACGGGAAGGCTGGTGGAGAAGGGGAGCCTTCGGTAGGGCGCCGAGGGCGTGGCTGTGCTGGACTGGACTGACAGAAGGACTGCGTCTCAGCTCCTAGGGGAAGTAGGGGCAGCCACCAAAGGGGGACTTGGTCCGGGGAGGGCCAGCAGGGAGCAGAGGGGTCGCAGTGACCCAGGGTGAGCCCAGGTGGGGGATGGGGCTGGAGCTCGGAGCTGGGAGGCAGAGAGGAACCGAAGTGGACCTCCCTGCTCCGGGGCAGGGCCTGGCGCTAGGGCGTGGAAAGGGACAGAGTGGGGTCACAGGAAGCGAAGCCCCTGGCCCTGCTCACAGAAGCACAGAAGGACCTCCTCATCTGGTGGTCGTGGGACCCTGCTGGGGTCGAGGGAAGGTCTCAGTGGGAGAGCCAGACCCAGGGAGCAGGGCAGGAAGTCCAAGTGGGGCAGAAACCCCCAGCTCTCCGGGCCTCCGTGCGCAGCTCTGAGCACCGCCAGGCCTGCAAAGGGTGGTTCTCTTCCCACTTTGTCTCTTCACTTTGCGCGCTGAGCTCAGCAAAGGTGGTCCCTGCTCTGAGCAGCTTCCCAGAGCCCCAGGCCCTGGTGGCCCAGAGCCCCTTCTGCAGGGGGGCCCTGGCGTTCGCAGGTTGATGGAGAGGGACTGCGGCCGCCTTCCTGCAGCTCACACCTGTGCCGACACTCGGCACCTGCCCGCCCAGGCCACTGGCTGTGGCCGTCCGCCCTTCGAGTCACCGTGCCTGCCATCCACCGTTGGAGGGCTTGTGTGAGGGCAAGCCCGCTGCTCCGAGCTCGGTGGGTGTGAGATGGAGCAGGCTGAGCCCTGCACCACAGGAGGGGCACCTGGCACCCTGGGGTGAGGAGTGGCCCTCCCGGTGGGCGTGGGGTCCTTGCCTCCTGCAGGGCGTGCTGGGTGAACCTCGGGGCTGCTGCCTGCTGTCCCCCGGAGGAGGGGCGTGGCCATCAGCTGATAGGGATATGTGGGGTAGGCCTCCAGGGGTGAGAAAGGAGCCCAGCTGGGGCTGAGGCACCCTGGGGTGCTACGAGGTGAGAACCCCTCCCTGTCCCTGCCCACATCCTGCCTCAGGAGCTGGTGTCGCGGACCCAGGGCCTGTGGGGGAGGAGTATTGCAAGGCTCAGTCCGTCCTGGACCGCTGGGTTTGGAGAGGGCCTGGTGGTTCCGGGCCTGGTGCTCCGGGGGGCATCACCACGTACAAGTGGCTAAGGCCGCCTGCTCCATGGTGACCCCTGTGCGTCCTGCCACATCTGCCTGCCTCCCGATGCAGCCACCAAACACGCTGGGGCTTCTGTCCCCCGCCTCAGGTGTCCACTCCCTTCTCTGCTCTGCACAGACCGTGTGAAGTCTCCCTTTGCCGCCTGAGTGCCCGGAGCGGGTCACCACTGCCAGGCTCTCACCCCTTGGCCATCTGTGGTCATCCGTACCCATCTCCACCAGCTCGTCTCATTCCCACAAAGGTTTCTGGGTGGTCTTGTTGTTTGTGGGTGCTACCCCTTCCGTTTTCTGGACAATCCCAAAGCATTGGACGGTCACTGTCTGGCGTCTGTCCCCTTCACCTCTCTTGGAGAGTGTCGACCTCTCCTCGGGGACACTGTTTCCTGCCTTTGCCTCAGTTTCCTTCTCATGCATCAAAATTGTGGCTTATGGCCTTGTCTTATCCTGGAGGCAGGGAATGACCTGTGATGTCTCCTGGGCCCTGTCCCCGCCTCAAGGTCCCTTGCAGTGGGGTCAGGACCTGGCAGGCCAGGCAGCTGGGGCACTCCCGGCATGAGTAGCTGTTTGGTAAACGTTGGCTGCAATAAAGCAGCGGTGGGGAATGAAGCCGGGGATTCTGGCCTGGGATGGCACGTGGTCCCCACCCATGCACTGCACGCTGCCTGGGCCGTACCTCATCCTGCCTCCGGGAGGGACAGCCACCATCTGGGCATGTGTACCGAGAGCCTCGTGGGTCGGCCGGGCGGGAGCCAGGCAGAAGGGCCAGGAAGTCCGTGTGGGATTTGATTAAATCGAGTTTTAATTAAAGTGGCAGGTGGGGCGGGGAGGTGGGCAGGGCACAACCAGTTTTGAGTCCACAGGTGCATCAAGCAGGTCCCCAGTTCTGGTCCAGGTGGGCCGGACTCTGTTCTCTGCCCTGTCCCTGACAGGGAGCCACCCCAGGGGAAATGCTACGTTATTAATTGTTAATTTCCCCTCCTGGCCAACGACAGATGACTCAGGGGTTAATTAGACACACAGAGCCACCAGAGACAGCTAGTAAATTACCAGACCCCGGCCCCGCCCCGGCCCTCGCCCTGGGCGTCAGGCCTCGCTGCCCGATGGGGAGGCCTCCACCGGGCGGCAGCAGAGGGCTCAACACACACCTCCCGCCGCAGGGTCCTGCAGACCTGCTCCCCCTCCTCTACTCACGGGAAGGCTGAGAAGAGTCGTTCCGGGGAGTGTAAATGGTTAAGCAGTCAGCTCCTCTCTCGGAGGCTGGCAGTTGAAATCCACCCAGGGGCCTCAGAAGAAAGGCCTGGCTAACTTTCTTGCAAAAACTCCGCCCCTAGAAACCCTGAGGAGCCCAGTTCTGCCCTGACACTCGTGGGCTTCACCGTGACTCGCAGTGGGCCTGGTCAGGCTGATGGAAGTCAGCCTCCCGGCCTGTAGGATGGGGTTCACGAGGCCAGCGAGGACACTGGTGACCCCACCCGCCCAGCCAGCGCTGGCATTACGCAAGCTGTTCAAGAGGGTATGGAGACGTGTCCCAGCACCCAGGAAGGTGCCCCAAGGCAGGGGCTGGGCGGCCCCCCTCAGCGGGCATGGTGCAGGCGTCCCGTGCAGGGCAGCCGGCACTGGCCTCGGGACAGTGGGCCGGAAGTCCTGCCCTCACCATCACAGGGGTGCCATGAACTGAGTCAGGCGGAGCCAGGCTTCCGGATCCCGTGGGGTGGCGGGCTCTGCCGGAGCCCGCTGGGGAAGGCCGGCCAGACTGGACAGTGACCTGGTGCTGCGGCTGTGGGATGGGGGCCTGGGGTTCTGCCACTGCCGGTCAGACCCCCTACAAACTCAGGATGGGCCCAGGCTCATGCTCCGGATCAAGAGGCCAGAGAAGGCCCCCGGAGGCTGTAGGTCCAACCTCTCACCAGGAACAGGCTCTGTGACTGCAGGCAGTGCCCCGTGCAGAACACGCCCGGAGACTTGCTAGTGGGGACTTTGGGGGTGGACGCCTTCCTGGCCTGGAGAGGCCTCTCCACCTGCCCGGAGGTGATGGGACACTGAGGGTCTGCAAGGGCTTTGGGCCCCTCTTCCTCCTGCCCCTTTCTGAGCCTGTGCCCCGGAAAGCATCAGTCACACCGTGGTGGGAGGGGTCCATTTCAGCTGTCCGCCGCTTGCTGGACGGGGGCTGGAGGATAGCCCTCTCAAGGCTCCAGTCCTGGTGGGCCCCTCACAGCCCTAAAGGGGAGGCAGGTCCCTCAGAGAGAGCCAGGGATATGTGCAGAAGACCAACAGGCAGAATCTGGGAGAGGGGGTCTTGCTGCCCTGCACCTGGGGCCCCACTGGGAGGGGCCAAGGCCCAGCACTGGGGAGGGTCTGGGGGCCACCTGGCTGTCAGAGGGCTATGGTTTAGTGGGTTTGGCAGATTGAGCTCGCTGGGAGCAGAGGAAGGTACAAGGTGAGAGGTGTGTGGCGGGTGGGGGGCATGGGATGCCCAGGTGGGTGGGGACCTGGGTTCGAGCTGGGCGCTCGGCCATTTCTGCTCCTGAGTGCTGGGTGACCGTCCACTCGTCAGTGCCACCTCCACCCTCCCAGATCCATCTCCTCCTCCCAGAGCCATGGCAAGGGCCAGGGTGACCCTGAGGTCAGCTGGGGTCCAACCCTCTCGCTGTATCAATGGGGAAACTGAGGCCCAGACAGGAAAAGCCTTCCGGCCCCCGGCCCCTGGTGCACCCCTGGCTGAGTGCCGCTTCTGCAAACGTCAGCCAGCCAGCCCCGCTCACAGGGTGCAGGTGGGGAGGCTGTGGGCGGGGGGCGGCACCCGCAGAGCAGGGAGCTCAGTGGAGCGTGCTGGCGCTGGGTGGGGGTGCGCACGCGGGGGCGGGGTGGAGGGCGGCACTGCAACACCAGCTGCTCTGTTCGGCTTCTCCGTCGCAAGGTGCCACCGTGGAGCGTGAGACTCGGGCTCTGGGGCTCTCTGGCCCTTCCTTGGCTGGGCCGTGAGGTGGTACCGGTGGCTGCAGGGGAGGGGGGTGGGGGAGGAGTAGGGCAGGCTCATGGGGCATCCTGGGGGAGGTGGGTCGTGGGGGGCCCAGGAGGCTTGGGAGCCAATGCAGGTGGTACGTTGCAGGCTCCCTACTGAGATCCGGGATGCACGTGGCCTTGAGTGCCAGCGTGGGGGTGCAGAGAGCATAGACAGTCCCCGGGTGAGCGCGCAGGCTGGCAGCCAGCCTGCAGGTGGGGCCGGACTGAAGCAGTGGGACCCCCCAGGTGGACGGGGGCAGCCCTGGACGTCCCCAGCTGTGGCCCTGCCCTGGGGGGCTCAGCTGCTCATGGGACCTTCCTCTGCAGGTGCCCTGGGACTGAAGCCAGACGACCCAGAGATGCTGCCAGCGTCCCAGGAAGGGCCTGGTCCCGGGCGGCTTCGTGTTGGCTGTGACCGGCTCCCGTGAGGAGGGGGCGGCTGGGCACCGGGCGCAGCTATGGACCGTGAGCTGGCGCGGCCCGCGTCCTCGCTGAGCCTGCCCGCCAGCGGCCATGTCCACCATGGGCGCCTCGGTGTACATCACGGTGGAGCTGGCCATCGCGGTGCTGGCCATCGTGGGCAACGTGCTGGTGTGCTGGGCCGTGTCCGTCAACAGCAACCTGCAGAACGTCACCAACTACTTCGTGGTGTCGCTGGCGGCGGCCGACATCGCCGTGGGGGTGCTGGCCATCCCCTTTGCCATCTCCATCAGCACGGGCTTCTGTGCCGCCTGCCACGGCTGCCTCTTCATCGCCTGCTTCGTGCTGGTCCTCACACAGAGCTCCATCTTCAGCTTGCTGGCCATCGCGATTGACCGCTACATCGCCATCCGGATCCCGCTCCGGTGAGCGCCGGCAGGCGGGTCCGCGCGCGCCGGGCCCTCGGGGGGTGGAGGCCAGGCTGCCTGCGTTCGCAGACGTGCACGGCGTGGCCGGGGTGGCCAGCGGGCCTGAGCTGCCCTGCGCACACAGGGCTGGGTGGGGTGAGGCACCTTGGAAACCACAGGACGTCAGGGCCAGCAGCCTGTCCCCCCCCCCTTCCTGGCTCCTCTGGGCGGCCCTGCGGGGGACGAGAGCTGACCACAGTCCACAGCGTTCTCTCGGCCCACAGGCCGCCCGCTACCCAGAGACCCTGCGTGCTATGGGGGACGCGGGTTTCTTGTCATCGAGGCCATCCCCCAAGGCTGAGGTCACACGGGAGGGCCTCCCTGCTCAGGCCACAGATTCCAGAAAGAACACCTGCTTGTGTCAGGCCCTTGGGCAGTGGCTTCAGCGTCTGGCCCTGTGACACAGCTCCAGACGGGGCGGGCCTGCCTGTGGCTGAAGCCGGAGCGGCGGTGGCGTGAGCAGGGGAAGCTTAGGGTGTGCAGCCCAAGGGAGCCCTGAGAACTACTTCCTCCCCTGGGGTGGAAAATGGGGAGGAGCTGGGGTTCTCACAGCACACGCCCAGTGGGTATTGGGCTGACATGAGAGCCCGGAAGAAACTGGGCCGCCGCCCACTCTGATTCCAGGCTCCCAAGACCTACCTCGGCAGCCCCTTCGCATCACCTGGGCTCTAGGGGGGCAGGGAGAGGCCTGGAACGCCACCAGAGGAGGAGGGACAGCCCCCATATGCAGCCCTGGAGCGGTGGCCCGACCCCCAGATCACTGGCCCTCCTTCTGAGGCTGGTGGGGGCTGTGGGACCCCACACATGGCCCCATGGCGGTGGCCATTCCTCTAGGGTCATAGCACAGAGCCCAGGCTTGCCAGGGGTCAGCTAAGAACATGGAGGCCTGGGGAGACCCTCGTGAATGTTGGGGCTGTTGGTGGGGACCCTCGCAGACAGAGAGCTCAGGACTGGAGCCCACCCCAGGCCTGGGGGTGTGTGTGTGAGGCTTGGAAGAGGACAGGCTGCTGTGTCCGGCCTCCAGGACCTCTGTCCTTCCCCTGCCTTCTGACGGTCAGGAGAGGGAGTGGCCGCGTGGTGGCCACGCTGTGGGACGTGGAGAGGCAGACACACTGTGGGAGCTGAAGTCCCCCTCTGGTGTCTGCACTATCAGGACACACCTGTCCCTGCAGCTCAGAGGTGTGAGTGGCAGAACTGGGTAGACCTCAGGCTCTTCCGGGCCTGCCAGGGCTCAGCGCCCCGTGGCCTGCCCACACCCCATCCACATGCCCTCCTGCCAGCCAGACCCTGGGTCAACTGTGCTCTGCCTAGTCAGGCCTGGACGATGAGGGAGGAGGCCAGACGGGCAGTGACGGGCACAGGGACGGTGATGAGCCCGTCACGGGCAGGGCTTTGTCTCGCCTGGGGTCAGGCAGGTGTGTGGACCCGGGTGTCCCACGGGGAGCCCAGCCTCACAGGAAGGCTTGCCTCGTGCCTTGTGAGGCCTGAGGCTTCGTGCCACGCTGTCCCTCTGGGCCTAGACCTCCAGACCCTGGGCGGGTGGACAGAAGGGTGCTTGTGGGGTGCTCCGGGTGGGAACCGAGCCCTCAAAGAGCTGTCTTTTGAGCTGAGTCTGCATGAGCGGGGCCTTGGAGCTGGAGTCGCGCCTGCACCCCTCACCCTCCACTCGCCCCCCAGCACCTCCAGGTGGAGTGCCTGGCTCTCGGGGGGGGGGGGCACGGTGCCTGTTCTGCCTCTGTTCACGCCTGGCACCTCACCCCGGCTGCCCTGCACACTGGCCCTTCTTTCATGAAGCCCGTCTCAGGAAAGTTTGTCTGTTCTCCCCAAGTGCAAGGGGCCGAGAGCAGGAAGCCCACCAGGGCAGGGGGTGAGGCTCAATGTCCCCAAGACAGAGACCCGGGTGGGGATGGGGCTTTCTGTCTCTGCATCAGCCCTGTGGTCACCAGGCAGGGGTGTAGACACAGGGAGCTTGCCCTTGTGCCCAGCTCTCCTCTTACCCCCAAGGTGCAGGGCCGCGCTGGGGCAAAGGTTGAGTGCGGAGAAATGGCCTGGCCATGGGGACAAGACCTGGGGGCCGTGCTGTCGAAGGAGGTGGGCTAGGACAGAGGGCTTCCTGGAGGAGGCTGCATCCATGTTCCTGCAGGGACGTGTCCGAGTGTGTCTGAGGCTGCATCTGCAGGGCAGAGGTCCTGAGGAAGGCCAGAGAGTCTGGGCACGGCCAGGGTGGCGCAGAAATGTGAGGGAGAGCAGAGTGGCGCTGGGCTTCTGTCTGCAGGGGACAGAGTGCAGCATCACAGCTCCCAGGGCTGGCGCCTGGGCACGAGAAGTGCCACCTACGGTCCCAGGGACCGTCAGCTGTAGCCTCAGCCCCCAGTGGGGTCACGGAGAGCCTGGGGAAAGGGCAGCCTGTGAGCTGGGACCCAGAGGGCTTCTGCTGACGGGATGGGGGGTGCCGCCCAGGACCTCCAGTCACCCCCCTGGGCCCCGCAGCAGCTGGGTCGTGCAGGGTGGCCTTCCGTCCCTTCCAGATGGACGGGCCTCCATGAGCCCGGGAGGCCGAGGTGGGACTGTGTGAGTCATGGGGGCTCAGGGACGCTGTAGTTCCAGACCTGTGTGGCTGGGTCCAGGGGTCACAGCCTAAAAGACTTTCTTTCAAATAACAAGATTAGTCTATTTTTAAAACCATCCATAGCACTTGTTGTTGTTGTTGTTGTTGTTGTTATGTGCCGTTGAGTCGGACTTGACTCATAGCAACCCCTCCTTGGGTTTCCGAGGCAGTATCACTACGGAAGTAGATTGCCCAACCTTGCTTCCGAGGAGTGGCTGGTGGGTTTGAACTGCCAGCCTTCTGGTTAGCAGTCAAGTGCCTTAGGCACTATGCTACCAGAGCTCCCCCATAGCACTTCCACATGCTATAACTAAAGTTCCGACAGTGGCCTGGGTCTTGTCCCCACTCCCAGCTCCCTGGAGGACACACTGGAATCCTTGCAGGTACCAAACAAAAAAACCAAACTCACTGCCGTTGAGTCGATTCCGACTTACAGCAACCAGCCCCCTTTGGGTTTCTGAGGTGGTAAATCTTTACGGAAGTAGATCGCCCAACCTTCCTTCCGAGGAGTGGCTGGTGGGTTTGAACCGCCAACTTTCTGGTTAGCAGTCAGATGCCTTAGGCACTACGCCACCAGTCTTTCACATAAAACCCACTGCTGTGGAGTTGATTCTGACCCACAGCGCCCCTAGAGGACAGAGTGGAACTGCCCCACAGGGTCTCCCAGGCTGTCAGTCTTCACAGAAGCAGAGCCCAAACCACACCCACTGCCGTGGAGTTGATTCTGACCCACAGCGCCCCTAGAGGACAGAGTGGAACTGCCCCACAGGGTCTCCCAGGCTGTCAGTCTTCACAGAAGCAGAGCCCAAACCACACCCACTGCCGTGGAGTTGATTCTGACCCACAGCGCCCCTTGAGGACAGAGTGGAACCCAGGGTTTCTCTGAGGTGGGCTAATGTACATCTTTCTCCCATGGGGCGGCTGGTGGGTTCAAGCTGCCAGTGTTTGGGTTAGCAGCCCAGTGCTTTAACCACTGCACCGATAACAGACAGCCCTCTGTCATTCCCACCCACCCCTTTCCCACTCAGCCACGACCAGGGATTCTTGGCCTCGTGTTACAAAGGAGGAAACTGGGCTTCCAGGGGGCAGAGCAGAGGGACAGACATGGTGTAACAGGCCTGCAGCAGGACCACGACCAGGTCCCGGGGCGTTTCGCAGGGAAATGTCACAACAACTCAGCTGTTCAGCGCCACAGTCTGAGTCGTGGGGACCTCCTGTGTTGCAGGGTCAAACTGCTCCCTGGGGGTGTCGTGGCCATAATCTTTATAGGAGCAGATCGCTGGGTCTTTTCGACGCAGAGCCACTGGGTAGGTTCAAACCATCGACCTTCAGGTGGGCGGTGGTTGTTGATAGGGGCTGTCAACTCATCTCCAGGACACAGCGACCCTGCGTACAAGAGAGCTACACACTGCATGGCCTGAGCCAGCCTCCCAGTCCTTGCTATGCCTGAGCCCATCGTTGCAGCCATGGTGCCGGTCCATCCTGTTGAAGGCCTCCCTCTCTTTCATTGACCCTCCACCTTACCAAGCATGACATTCTTCTCCAGGGAATGGTCCCTTCTAACAACATGACCAAAGAAGGTGAGATGAAGTCTGGCCATTGTCGCTTCCAAGGAGCATTCTGGCTACACTTCCTCCAGGACAGATGTTAGTCCTTTTAGCTGTCCGTGGGACTTTCAGCATTCTTCACCAACACCACAGCTCAAAAGCATCAACTCTTCTTCAGTCTTCCTTATTCATTGTCCAGCTCTCACATGCATACGAGGCGACTGGAAATATCATGGCTTGGGTTTATGTTGGTAGTTGAACAGAACGTGTTTGAGCCACTGGGGGACCTGCTATTGAGCGAGTGCAACACTCCAAGAAGAGCCTGTTTGGATTCAGAACTAAGATAGACGTGACACTTAACCTTGGCCGAGTCTATGGCCAGCCCTTTCCTCTGCTGGGGTCTCAGTTCGCCCACCTGGAAAAGCTCTGGTGGCATAGTGCCTAAGCCACTTGACTGCTAACCAGAAGGAAGGCTGGTGGTTCAAACCCACCAACCACTCCTCGGAAGGAAGGTTGGGCAATCTACTTCCGTAGTGATACCTCCTCAGAAACCCAAGGAGGGGTCGCTATGAGTCAGGTCTGACTCAACGGCAGTGAGTTTGGTTTTCTGTTTTTTAGACTAGAGAAGAGGTCAGAAGCCACCGGGTTGTTTTCGTAATCTGAATTAGTTGACAGGATTTAGAAATGCCCAGAGTGGGCCTCCTGGCCTCTGCTGAGGTGGGGCAGCCCTGGTACACGCCTGGCCTGGCGGCCGGGAGCTGTGTCGACCTCCTGCACCAGTCACCGTCTCAGCCTTCTCCCCACGCCTGACCTTTGCAGGCACCTGTTTGCAGCCCACAGACACATGGATGATTCCCATCATGGTTTAATTTGCTCTGGAAACTTTCACCCATAAAAAAATAAATGTAAATAAATAAAAGGATCTGGGATTCAGGAGAACAAATAAGTAATCGCTCAACCGTCTCCCAAAAGGTTGGCAGTTCGAACCCAGCCAAAGGCAGGTGGGAAGGCAGTCCTGCCAATGTGTTTCTGAAAGGCCACTCACTGCCCTAACAACCCTATGGGGCTGTTCTCTGCATACATGGGGGTCACCCGCCAGGAGGTGGAATCGGCTGGACCCCACCCGACCCCCGTGTGCTCCTGTCCCCGGCCGGCAGTGTGTACGCACACAGCCACACCCTCCCAGCCCGGTGCCCTGTGAGGGGATCCGCTTTGCTGGGTGGCACCCCCTCTGAGGAGAGCTTGGGGCGGGCAGGATGTGCCCCAGGGAGGGAGAGGGTTGCCCCTTCCTAAGTCAGGGAAACATCCTTTGATTTATCTTTTTACATTTATTTTTATTATTGTTATTGTTTTATGGGTGAAAGTTTCCAGAGCAAATTAATGTTCCACACAGCAGTTCATACATGTTTTGTTTCATGACATTGACTGCAATCCCTACCCTGTAACAGCTGTCTTCCCACTTCTTCCCTGTGGTCACCTCTTCCCTGTGTCCTTCCCTCCCATGCACTCCCGCCCCCCGAGCTGTCTCCCTGTGCAAACACTGCCCTTCCGATCTCCCATGATTGATCGCTCCAAGGAGTGTTATCTACCTGATGTCAATGTTCACCCCAAGTGCCTGTCTGCTGTTTGGCTGGAAGCCACGGGAGTGAGTTCAGTTCCAGGCTTGAAGGGTGACTAGGGGCCATCGTCTCAGGGGTCTCCCCAGACTCTATCAGACCAGCAAACCTGGCCTTTTTTAGAAAATGATTTTGAGTTTTGGAGACATGATTCCCGCATCTGGTCCTTTCATGGGCTCTGTGGCCCCTGTCCTGTAGGCCGGTGGCTTCCTCCTGGCCGGCACACAGGCCACCGCCTGCGTCTGTGACAGGAAGCCAGTCTCATGCCCGCAGAGCTGGAGTATTGTCTGGCTTGCTGGGACCCTGAGTGGCCCCGGCTCGCTCCTTCCCTTCCCTGTCTGGACCCCAGGACCCACTACAAACATCTCTTGCGTGTCAGGACCGCTACAGATAGACGTCCAGAGGCCAGTGTCTCTGTTCTTTCTGGAGGCTGTGGGAGGGTTTGGAGGGGACAGGCGGTGTCCTATTTGGCTCAGAACCCCCCACTACCAGGCCCCTCACCCCTGTGCCTTCTCCAGTGGGGAAGAAGAGCATGAGTGCATGGGGCCTGAATGATCGCTGGGTCTGACCTCCCTGCCCCAGCCAGCGAGTCTCCCTGCGGACCCCCCCCCCCACGCTCTGGCTGACCAACAACAATGTGGACAACAGCCCCTCCTTCACTGATGCCCTGGCCCACGCTGATTCAGTGAGGCTGGGCCCACCCTCCTGTCTGGTGGTGGTGGTGTTGCTGTTGTTACGGGTCGTCGAGTCAGACCCGACTCATCGCGACCCCTCCTTGGGTTTCCGAGCCCGTATGGCGGCTACGGAAGTAGATTGGTCTGGTAGTCAGGAATTTCTGTCCACAGCCCTTCACTGGGTGAGGAAGGCAGGCCTCCACCCAACTCCAAGGTGACCGATGGGCCGTGACAGCCACTGTGGGCTTCTCGCCTGGCGGCCTGGCTGGTCGCAGGCCCTGACGCTGGTCTCCTTTCTCAGGTACAACGGCTTGGTGACGGGCGCACGTGCCAAGGGCATCATTGCGGTCTGCTGGGTGCTGTCCTTTGCCATCGGCCTAACCCCGATGCTGGGCATGAACAGCTGTGGGCAGCCTCAGGAGAGCCGGAACCGCTCGCAGGCCTGCGGCGCGGGCCAGGTGGCCTGCCTCTTCGAGGACGTGGTCCCCATGAACTACATGGTGTACTTCAACTTCTTCGCCTGCGTGCTGCTGCCGCTGCTGCTCATGCTGGCCGTCTACCTGCGCATCTTCCTGGCGGCGCGGCGGCAGCTGAAGCAGATGGACGGCCAGCCGGCGCCCGGCGAGCGCGCGCCGTCCACGCTGCAGAAGGAGGTGCACGCGGCCAAGTCGCTGGCCATCATCGTGGGGCTCTTCGCTCTCTGCTGGCTGCCGCTGCACGTCATCAACTGCTTCACTTTCTTCTGCCCCGAGTGCGCCCACGCCCCGCCCTGGCTCATGTACCTGACCATCGTGCTGTCCCACACCAACTCCGTGGTCAACCCCTTCATCTACGCCTACCGCATCCGCGAGTTCCGCCAGACCTTCCGCAAAATCATCAGCAGCCACGTCCTGCGGCGCGGGGATCCCCTCAAGGCGGGCGGCAGCAGCGCACGCGCCCTGGCGCCCCCCAGCGGCTCCAGCGACGGGGACGTCACCCTGCATCTCAGCAGCCACGCCCCGGGCGTGTGGGCCAACGGCAGCGCCCCGCGGCCCGAGCGGAGGCCCAATGGCTACACCCTGGGGCTGGTGAGTGGAGGGGGGGCCCTGGAGCGCCACGGGGACGCGGGCCACCCCGAGACGCACCTGCAGTCCCCCGGGCTGGCCCAGGATGGAGCAGGCGTGTCCTGAACCCGCCAAGCCTGCAGCTTTCAAAGAGGGCAACACCCTTGTCCGTTGGGTGCAGCTGGGAGAGGGGAAACGAGGGTGCCAGCCCCGCAGGAGGGCCACCCCACCTCCAGTTTGGACTTAAGGGAGCCATGCAGGCGCTCTGTGAGTCCCGCCCCTGCCCCCCGAGAGAAGGGACGAGCTGGGCCAGCCACAGCTCTGGCAGGACTCCGCCCCCCAACACCTGTGGGTGCCACCTGGCTACGCAGCAGCTGTGGCAAGCGCACTGGCCTGGGCTGCCAAGCGGCTCTCGCAGGACTGCCTGCCTGCCTGCCTGCCACATGCTGCACCCCGGGCTTTTCTGGGATCCCAGAGGTGGCACGTAATTGTTCTTCCAGAGTGAAGGACCCCCTTTTATTTTATGATTCCTTTCCTTGGCTGCCAGGTCTGCTATGGGTCCTGCTGCTAACGGGGTGCAGGGGTAGGGGCCTGTGTGGCAGCCCTCCCCACTGCCCGGAGCCCCTGTGTGCCCCACACCCGTCAGTCCAGGGCTGTGTCTTGGGGAGAAGAAGCTGGAACCAAGGAGGAAACTGCGGGGAGAGTGGCCATGCCCCGGGGGCGGCGGCAGTGTCCAGGGGGACCATGCGGGGTCACCCCGAGCTGCCTGGGGAGAGGTCCCCGTCTAACTTCCTTTCCTTCAGAAGGGAGTGGTTTTTTTTTGTTTTTTTTTTTTCCTGAGATAAATAAAATGAGCCACACTGTGTTTTCAGCTTGTCCGAGGACAATGGTGTCTGCGTTCCGTTCCCTGCCCCACAGCCAGGCCCGTAGGTAGGAGCTGATTATACATGTGTGAGAGTGCATGTATGCGTGTAAGGAACAGACAGACAGACGCCCTGCCCACCCACCCAGGGGCCACCTCAGGCTCCCATCCTCCCAGATTACCCAGCATCCCAACGCCTGCGTGTGCCCCAGAGAGGCCTTCTGTGGGAGAGGCCCTGCAGCCTTGGGGGGAGGCGGTGCCCCTGCTCACCCCACAGAGCTCACGCACCCCTCCAACTCCTCGTGTGGGGAGGGGTATGGAAGGCTCCCCTGGCCATCATCGCCTTCCCAGCATCCTTAGAGGGAGAGTCTATGTTCCTGTGAACCCAACAGAGAAAGGGAGCTGGCGGCTGGCTCGGGTGGGCACCTGTGTGGGTGGGTGTCTGGGACACTGGGCTCGTCTGGACACATCCAGGCTGAAATGCCTTCATCTGCAGTTACCCGGCCCCCACTCACAACAAGGGGCAGGTGCGGCTCAGCAATAGAATCCTTGCCTCCCACGCAGGGGACCGGGGTTTGATTCCCAGCCAGTGCACCTCACCTACAGCCATCACCGTCCGTCTGTCCCTAGAGGTCTGCACGCTGCTCTGTGCTGAGTGTGTTTCAGCAAAATGTCCAGACTGACACCAGAAAGAAGGGCCTGGAGACCGGCTTCTGAAAATTAACAGAAAATTAATGAAATTCCCTGTGGGTCCCAGTGGTCTGATCGCGTTGTCCGTGGGGTCAGTAACAGCCAACTCCCAATGGAAAAATTACAAGGTGCGTGGCCTCACAGAATGGCCGGCCTTCCCTGCGTGGTCCTCTGGAGCCCTTCCTGAGGGGATGGTGCTGTCCTGCCGTGATGCCCCTGCTGGGGCTGGCAGGGAGCTGGCACTGTCCCGGGCAGGGCTCTGGGGTCCAGTTTGGTCTCAAGTCTCCCAGGCATGCTCAAGCCAGAACGGGCTGAAGGAATGCTAGAATGTCACAGGAACGCTGGGAGATCCTGCGAACCCATTTCCCAATGATTTATCTGAGGGTAGGAGCACTCAGCTGCTAATGGAAAGGTGGGCGGTTCAAACCCACCCAGCAGCTCTGCGGGAGAAAGATGTGAAGATCTGCTCCCATAAAGATGGCGTCTAGAACACCCTTCGGGACAGTTGAATGCTGTCACCCGGGGTCACTGTGAGTTGGAACCAACTTTGTTGTTGTTTTTTTTTAATTTTTATTTTTATTATGATTTGGGTGAAAATTTACAGAGCAAATACACTTTCCATACAGCAGATCACATACACTTTGTCTCATGACATTGACCACAATTTAGCACAATGCAACATCTCCTCTCCCACTTCCTCCCATAGGTACCGCTTCCCTGTGTCCATCCCTCCATGCACTCCTACCCCCTGAACTGTCTCCCTGTGCCTGAGCAGCCCTTCTTTCTCCTTACTTGTTCTCTCCAAGGAGTGTATCTACCTCAGATAAATGCTCAACTAGTATGCCTGTCTACTGCTTGGCTGGAAGCTAGAGGTGTGTGTTCAATTCCAGACCTGGAGGGCAGCTAGGGGCCATAGACTCAGTGGTTCCACCAGGCTCCATCGGGCCGGTAAACCTGTTCCCTGCTTTTTTTTTTTTTTTTCCCGAATGATTTTGAGTTTTGTGGAACCAGCTTTGACTCAACTCAACAACAGACTGACACTTAGAGGGTGAAGCCCTTGCTCAGGTCACATGGTGAGTGAACGGGAGAGGGGGGCCCACAGCCCAGTCTATCTGACCTCAGAACTCAAGCTCGTGTATTGTTTGTTTTTTAACTTTTCAGTGTGATTTCAGCGAAAGCCTGCAGAGCACATTGGTTTTCTGTTCCATGATTCATACACTTTTTGTTTCGTAACACTGATTGCATCCCCACAACGGAACAGCTCGCTTCTCACTTCCTGTTTCCCTTCGTCTTTCTCTCCCATCCCTTCCTGCCTCCCAAGCTTCCTACCCAGGCACACGCTGCCCTTTGGGTCCCGCAGGATCGGTCGTTCCGAAGACTGTGAACCTCGCTGGGGTTACTGCTCGTCTTACCGGCCTATCGTTGGGCGGAAAGCTGGGCCCAGGGCATGAGTTCAGCTCTGGGCTTCAAGGGTGAATAAGGGCCATCGTCTCCGGGTTCCAGCTCTGTCAGACCACTCAGCCCGGACTTTTTTATGATTTTGAGTTTTGTTCCACATTTTTCTCCCACTCTCTCTGGGACCTCCTGCTGTGATCCCTGTCAGAACGGTCAGCAGTGGGAGCCAGGGACCATCTAGTTCTTCTGGTCTCAGGGTCATGGAGGCTGGGGTCCTCATGGTCCACGGGCCCTTTGGACTAATTGTTTCCTTGCATCTTTGATTTTCTTCACTCTTCTTTGCTCCAGACAGGGAGAGATTAATACTTGCATATTGTTTTAAAAAATTTTATTTATCTCAACAAAACTGAAAAAAAATTTTAAAAATCACATGCCCACCCCCACCCCTGCCTCAAAGGTGGCCCATTATGACCCAGTGGAAGCGCCATACCCTCTCCATGTCATTAGGTGACTTCCTGTGCTGGAAACAGCCCCATCCCACTTTCACCCACTTTGTAATGTCCCTTTATAGTGGTCACACACACACACACACACACACACATGTAAGTATCCCCCAAACCAGAACGGACATGCCCTGACTGTGTTTACCCAACGCTCTACCCAGGCCAGCACACACGCTGCGTCTGGGAGGTACGAGGCTCAGGCCTTTGGCTCAGAGACACTGGTTTGAGGGACTGAGTAGGCCCAGGCAGCCCTGCTGTGACGTTGTTGCTAGGTGCTGGCACGTCGTCTCTGACTCATAGTGACC